TGTTCTTTTTTTTTATGTATTAAATTTAGTATTAAATTTATAATTTGACTTTTTTTAAATATATGCTTTTTTTTTTTTTTTATAGGGCATTAAGAGTTATGGCTGATGAGATTTATCGTGCATTATTATTCATGAATTATTTGATGGTGGCAACTATAGTGTATGTCATACCTGTTATCGGTCCAATTATATCATTCATGTATTTTTGTTGGATATATGCTTATTATAGTTTTGAGTAAGTATATGTTATTTTCTTTGATTATTATGAATCTTGATCTATATCTACTTTATATTTTTATTTTAATAGGTACAAATGGATTAATCAAGGTTGGTCTTTAGAACAACGTATAGGATATTTTGAAGAGAGGTGGTCTTATTTCGCCGGATTTGGTAATACTTTCTCATTGTTAATGTGTGTATGTTTAGGTTACCAGAAAATCTTCATTAACATTATTTTCTTCAGGTTTTATGTTTACCGTGATAACGTTCTTTGTTGATCAATTTTTAAGTGCTGGTGTTTTCGCACTTCTCTTTCCTCTTGTAAGTATATTCCTTTGCTCTTTTTTAAATTTCGAATCAACAATTGATAAATTTTCTTTCTATTTTTATCTACGATGTATTAAGTATATAATTATGGCTAACAATGCTCTTCCTATGCCGAGACAGAACGAAAATGCTCGTTTTTCATCATTAGTACCGTATCGATTGCGAGTATTTTGGGTAGCGGAGAAATTAAATAATAAGATAATCGGTGGTCTCAGGAGCATCTGTCTTCCAATAAGATAAAATCACGAAAAAAAAACAATACAATGATAATCCACAAATAGAAGAACATTAATATTGTATAACTCGGATAATAATAGTTGATTATTACCCCGTATCAATAGAACATTATATACTGTAAAAAGCGCACGGTGGTTACTGTGTTAAGTTTTTTTTTTTTTTTAATTCCTAATTTTAAAAGGTGCATCAAAACTACGATAGGGAACATGATAAATAAGGACGAGGATAGCGACTAGAGGTAATACAAGATTAATGTGGCGTTATAATAACGTAACATGACTTAATAGTTATAAAGCATTACATTA